CTCATTGTTTACCCAGTGTATACAGAGACAACCCTGGACCATTCCTACCTTCCTAAGTTTAGGTTTAAAAAAGTTTTAGAAATGTGTTCCTCTTGAAGTTCACCTGACTTATAGCCATGAGACTGTTTGCAACCTAAAGCAATTTTTTGTTCTTTTTTGTCTAGTTTTGAATGTATGCAATTCCATTCTACTCTCACTAGAGGGATCACTGGCAAAAGGAAGAGTGTCCCGATTCCTTTATATGGATCTTTAGTTATCACTAGAAGGATCTCCAGCAGGAGGAAGGAGGTCCTGATTCCTCTATATAGATCTTTAGATGTCACTAGAGGGATCTCCAGCAGGAGGAAGGAGGTCCTGATTCCTCTATATAGATCTTTATTATCACTAGAGGGGTCCCCAGCAGGAGGAAGGAGGTCCTGATTCCTCTATATAGATCTTTATTATCACTAGAGGGGTCCCCAGCAGGAGGAAGGAGGTCCTGATTCCTCTATATAGATCTTTATTATCACTAGAGGGGTCCCCAGCAGGAGGAAGGAGGTCCTGATTCCTCTATATAGATCTTTATTATCACTAGAGGGGTCCCCAGCAGGAGGAAGGAGGTCCTGATTCCTCTATATAGATCTTTATTATCACTAGAGGGGTCCCCAGCAGGAGGAAGGAGGTCCTGATTCCTCTATATAGATCTTTATTATCACTAGAGGGGTCCCCAGCAGGAGGAAGGAGGTCCTGATTCCTCTATATAGATCTTTATTATCACTAGAGGGGTCCCCAGCAGGAGGAAGGAGGTCCTGATTCCTCTATATAGATCTTTATTATCACTAGAGGGATCCCCAGCAGGAGGAAGGAGGTCCTCATTTAATATACTGTGTCCAGTTCTGGAGATCTCACTTACAATAAGAAATGGATAAGATAGAACAGGTCCAGGGACAGTCAACAAAATGGTGAAAGGTCTCAGGGGAAAAACATCTCAGGGGAGGGAATAAATAGCCATGTTTCCGTGTTTGCAGACAATACAAAAATAGGGAGGGTACTAGAAACGGATCGTGACAATATAACATTACAGGAGGACCGGGGAAAAATAGGGGAGTGGGCATTAATTTTCAGATGAGGTTTAATGTTGATAAATGTAATGCACTTTGGACATAAAAATAAATGTCGCTAGGAAGTCAGAAATAGAAAAAGATTTGGGGGTCATTGTAGACCACAAACTGAATGGTAGCTTGCAGTCCCAAGCTGCGGTAAGCAAAGCTAGCAGGGTCTTGTCCTGTATTAAGAAGGGGATGTATTGCAGGGACAAGTCTATAATTCTGCCTCTATATAGATCGTTGGTTCGGCCACATCTGGAGTACGCGGTCCAGTTTTGGTCGCCGGCACTGAGAAGAGATGTCCTTGAACTGTAGAGAGTCCAGCGGAGGGCAACCAAACTAGTTAGGGGAATGGAGGACCAGAGCTATGAGACACGGCTTCTGACCTTAAACATGTTTACGCTGGAATTAAGGAGATTAAGGGGGGATATGATTTTCATGTACAAGATGTTCAATGGTGACAGCAACATTGGCAACAAACTGTTTGAGATTAACTCCATTACAAAGACTAGAGGCCACCACCTAAAGTTGGTGGAGAAAAAATTCCAGCACAATGGGCGAAGAGGGTTCTTTACAGTAAGAGCGGTTAAGGTCTGGAACTCACTGCCATCGGCAGTGATTTCAGCCAAGAGTGTAGATTTGTTCAAGAAACGTTTGGCCAATTTCTTGAGGGACCGTAATATCCAGGGGTACCAGTATCCCTAAGAATGAGATGATGCGCGGACCTATATGGGTTGGACTTGATGGACGTATGTCTTTATTCAACCCCAAATACTATGTAACTATGTAACTACAGGAACCTAATTTGTACAATCTTGTGGAAAAAAATGGAAGGGGGGGGACATGACTGAAACATTTGAATACATAAAGGGTGTGAATAAGGTTCAGGAGGACATTATTTTCAATATGAAGCTGAGACCAATAACATAAGGACATGACCTCAAGCTAGCAGGAGAAAAGTCCAAAACTAACCTTGCTGTGATTTCGGCTGAGAGTGCGGAATCATTCAAGAGGCGACTGGACGATTTCCTCAGGGACCGTAATATACAGGGGTACAGGTACTCTTAAGATTTAGAACACACAGGGACCCATACTGTACATACTACACATCAATAGGACCATACGCACACACACAAAATAGGTTGGACTTGATGGACATATGTCTTTATTCAACCTCAAATACTATGTGATTATTTTTCTAAAAAAGTAGTTGATGGTGGCAACAGACTTCCAGCAGAGGTAGGGAGTCCATCAACAGTAAGTGAATTTAAACATGTTCGGGACAACCATTGATCTATATTCAGACAAAAAGTTTAAAAACACAAAAAAAACAAAAAGGGTGAGGGATAGTTCACACCAGCCCCAGTGTGTTCAGGCCCGATTCGGCCGGAATGCACTGGATCGCATTCCAGCCGGGTCACTTTGTTTTGGGGCGGGAGGGGGCGTGGCGGTGCATTGAAGTAAATGGCACAATGCGATCGCCCGCACCCGGGGCCGGATTTCCCACAAGGCACCGGCCACCGGCCGAGGCAACCAAGGCCCGGCCCCGGGGCAGCAGGGAGTAGAGGGGCAGCAGGGGTGTGGAATTCCTATCTCCCGATGCCCGGGACATGCAGTTCTAGGCGCCGGGCAGGTAGTTCTACATTTAGCTGAGCTAAATGTACAGTGGGGAAGCCGCTGCTTGATTTGAACCAGTGACCTCGGTGATGTCGCAGAGATCACTTGTATGCCGCCTGCGGGTCTGCCATTCTCCAGGGGGGGGTTGGCAGGTAGGGGGGCGCATTGAGGAACCTGGCCTTGGGGCAGCAGAGAGAGTAAATCCTGCCCTGCCCGCACCTAAACACGTGGCACATTGATGCCTGCGTTCCGGTCCGGTGCAGTCAGAAACAAAAAGTGCTTGCAGTGAATGCGATCCAGTGCGTTCCGGCCCCGATCGGGCCCGGGAACGCACTGTGGCTGGTATGAACTAGCCCTCAGACTCAATTGTTCTTTTCTGCCATCACTCGTCTGTGTTTCTCTTTAATAATTACAACAGTAAAAACAACAACAACAAAAGGCTTATTTTGGAATCATTTCTGAATGTTTTATGAGATCGGGATTTTTTTCTTAAAAATGATTATAAATATACACTGAGTGGCCAGATTGTTATGACCACCCCATCAGTACTTAGTTGGGCCGCCTCGTGACTCCACGAGATGATGAAAGGTGATGCGAGGAATCTGACACGGCGCTGTCGCCCTTCTGTTGTCTTGTACCAGTCTTGCCCCTCCCCCGTTCTGCCCTAACATTCACACAATTCGCACGTTCAGACCAAGATTTTCGGCTGACAGTCCGGTCTTTAAACACTTTAACAATTAGCCCCTCTTGAATATTTAACGAATTCTGCTGTGTTTATAATGGTCTGGCCCTCTAGCAACTTCAGTGCGAAATTATAGCTAATTTGCCTACAAACGTCAGGTGGTCATAATAATCTGGCCACTCAGTGTACATCATACAAGGTTCCACATGATTTGACACCATTGGGTTACATTTTACTACTCGCTGTCAGATGATCACTCATGTACTTATTTCTTTATTCAACCTCAAATACTATGTAACTATGTAACTATATGCTCACATGACTGATGGATCCGTCAATTTTCGCCCCTCTGTTAAAACCCCAATAAACACTCGGACTGCGCGACTTGGATTCTAACAGCCACAGCGGCCCTTTTATTAAACCAAACAACTTTAACAATAACCAAAAGTAATAAACCAAATAATGTACACAAATAATACTGTAAACAATTGTTGACCCGAGAAGGGGTCTTTGGGTACCCAACAGCCCAAAAAGGCCTCTCCCAAAACTCCACCCATGTCCCCAGCCGCCTTACAACCAGCTCGAGGACACTTACTACTTCCAGGTTCCCAAGGGGCCAGGTCCCGCATTGAGGAACCTGGCCTTGGGGCAGCAATTAAAGCTAACCATGCTGCACTGCCATCTTGTTGCCATTCTCCATTGATGGGGGGGTCGGGGCATTGCGGAACCTGGCCTTGGGGCGGCAGGGAGAGTAAATCCGGCCCTGCGTGTATGGGTGAGAGGCCTACGGGCTGTTGCTGTCCTCAACAGTACACACTGATTTTTCCACCTTTTGTATTGGGCCCCAACGTTGGCTAGTGACAGCCAGCAGCATGAGATGCCATAGCGACCCAGGCGGCCTGTGCGGCATCAGGGATGTCCTGGCCCCCCTGTTCCCCTGGGCCCCATAGCTGCCGCCTGGGTCGCTATGGAGATTGTTACGCCACTGGGTCTAACCCGTCAGTAAATGTGTTGGGCCTCTTCCAAGAGAGCAAGGGTCCATCTCTGCAGAATGCTGGCAGGGAACAGGCTTTTATACTCACGTCGTGTTTGTTTTCTAAAGGAAACAAACTGTAAGACTTTGCACACCTTTTGCTTTGATGCATCTGGAATGGATTTAGCTGATTTAATGGTGAATTAATTGGTCTTCATGTGAAACAATTTAGGTCTACAAAAGTAGCCTGAGACAATCTGTGGCCCCATCGTGGAATCTTCTATCCCAGCCTGAAGATAGATATATTAGCTTCTGTTGGGGTCATCCATAGCTCGCTTGTTGGACTCCAGTCTTGGCAGGCAATACTTTTTTCTGATAGTCCATAATGTCCACTACAGGCAATGTGCTTTGTTTTCTGTTGCACTACTGCTGATGGTGGTCATTGGCAAAGTAACATTGGGCATGTTTGCCTAGCAACAAAGAAAAATGAAATAAATATTGGCAATCATTGTCTTTGTTTAATGTGAATTACAACTGTGATATTTTCAGGGTGTCCCTGCCTTAAATGTAAACCTTTCCTGAGGAATGTAGTCTAGGTTACTACAAAAGTTCTTAAGGTTCCAGGTACCATCTTTAATTCTAGTTAGAGGATAAAGTAGAAAACGTTTAACACCCTTTTGCTGAAATGTCTCTTCACTTCCTGTGCAGGAGACCCAACAAGAAGTGGGAGGAAAACTCTCCTCTTAGAACAGGTTTCCCCATTGGAAGATTTTCCTTATATTCCAAGTCTGGTGACAGTGTTACATTGTAGGTTTCCTATTACATTCTGTCCAGATGACAATGGTTACCAATGACGCTCTCTAACAGAGACATAGACAGCAATAAGGATGGGGGCAAAGGGAGCACTGGGGGCTGTGCAGCATTTGTGTGATGCCTCACAAGGAACTGCCATTACTACCGAAAGGAGCATGGAGGGGGCGAAGATCCCCACGTATGATATGGTGTCACCACTAAAACTTACTGATCTTGAGGGTGTTTGAAGAGTGGAGATTTCTTGTTCCTGTTTCTTCTTCCTGGAAAAGAATTTGCGATACTCCCCTCTTACCTGCACAGGAGAAATGATAAAATCAATTACAATGTATATATTGTATAAAATATATATTGTATATAATATTATATAATTGTATATATGTATGTA